TTTCATATTCACGTATATTTTGTCGTATTTAATTCAAGAATTACATATGGCCATATGATAATACATTAGCAATAACGTCCTTTTCAATGAGTTATATAAAATTCATCTCTTTCCGCTCATCGCTTGACGAGCGATAATTTTCGGAGATTATTCGCTTGGAAAGACCACGTCAGTGTCAAAAAGTCTTCATATTTCTCGCAGATTTCGCTTTTCTGTTTGCGATAATAGAGAACATATGATGTATAATGTCATTCTCTATTAAATTTAAACCAACAACGAAGACGTTTAATGTAACTTGCCAGATTCTAAATATTATATCTTCTCTCTTTCGCGCGTGCTCCGTACTGAAATTACATTTATACTTTACGATTGTTTTCATTTCGGCATATTTAACTTCTTGGAGTATCACTTGATTTAATTTCGAACGCAGGAGGGATTATATCGCCGTAAAATATATAAGTTGTACTCTAATGAAAATTTCAATAGTTCCTTAATGAGTTCCGAGCCCTTGATAATTAATTCCACAAACTTATATTTTCTGTGGCCAAGTTAATTTCACTCACGCAAATTAGGAATTTAATCAAATCTCGCCAGTCGTTTCGGCCGTGGATCTGGCCACGCACAAAAATGGCAATTAAAGCCCGACATGCCGTTATTAAGTTCCACAAATCATCTGAGAGGGTTTGTGGCGTTGCGCGAGAAAGGAGAGAGAGCTCGCGACGAAATTGATTATATAATAATTTATGCATTTATAAGTCCAAGCGCGTTGCGCCGGGAAAAGTTAACTCTTCATCGTCTTGTCCTGATTAATTATTTATTTACCGAGACATATATATCTAAACGATAAAAAAAAGAATTGCCAATTTAAACCGAGTATCGGACAAGCATTGGATATCTAATATCGCGTGGTTGTTATCAGTTATAATTATTATTATCAACAACCTCTTACCGTGCAAGATCACGATAAATATTCGGATAATTATTCCGACACGCACACATACCCACACATAAAGAAGGCTAATAATACCAGACCAAACCCGTACGACGTCCTTTTCTTGCCGCCGTCGTTGAAGAGGGGAAAGAAGAATTTGTGTCTCGCAGGCCAGCGAGGGTGGCACCATTTCTATTCATCGCGGAAAATAAAGCCGGTCTCGATCGCGAGTTCCGATAACCATGAATATTTTATCCGCATAATATTTCTAGCACCCATCGCAGTGCGTTTCACGTACTCGCGCACACACAGAAACGTCGATCTTCTCCTCTCCCGTCCCGACGACCACGACACATAGTGGGGGGGAGGGGGGACGACACATAGCAATCCTGGGACACATTGAGATTCTTTTTATTATATATTTTGTTTATACTTTGTTGATATATTTTATATTTATATGTTGTCAATTTCTCATTTCTTTTTATTTTTTCTTTTTATATTTTTTTATCCTTTTATATTTTTATATTTTTATATTTTTTCATTGTTAACATCAACGATTATTTGCCATGGTGAACGGGAAAGTCTTTTTATCATTGATGATCCTTGATGATAATGCGTTGAAATTTAAAGTTTCATTTTTATTTTAGCTACGTCCCACGATTTACCTTATTCGCCTCGCTGTGCGACGACGGCGACGACGTTTAACTGTGGCTCTAGCCATCGGCACCAGTCCTCGCATTGTGTTTGCGAGGACACGTTTGCGCGCCGGTGAGAGTGCAAACGTGTCGGGCTGTGAGTCGCAGGTTCCAACACTCATTCGTGGTTTTCGGCTGAGCTGGAAAAGGGCGGGGGCGATTTCGCGGGTAGCGTGCGTAAAGGACACGGGGAACATCGTGCTGGCCTTTCGAGACGGATCGCAGGAATTAATGGACTTTATGGATTGTCGCGAAACGGGCCGAACATAAAGTCATAGATGTCGTTATGATGCGTGTACTAACGGGTAATGTCGCGTGCCAAAAGTATCACTGTTTGTCGTGCAACGGTGTTGACAAACACATCGTCGGGGCGTTGTGCCATCAGTGCACCATACTTTGCACTGCAACTCTGACCGACGAAGCGGGAAATTGTCAACTCAAGAGATGACTAAGACGAAGGTCTCAATTAGCAACCATTAAATTACGTTATATTTTTCTAATTTATAAAAAATTCCAATTTATGTATATTTTCTCCGAAATTATACTGAAGTAGCATTTAGTGACGCGACAGTCTAGTTTCGAAGAAGGAATAATTGTACAGTTTTGACACTCATAGACATCTGACATTGATTATCAATTTCTACGACGCAGGCGAGTAATTGTCTCAATTGTCGCGGTCAGCAGGACGCTGTAATTGTTGACACTCCGCTGTTTTTCATTTTATTCGAAACTTGTCGCAACCGGTAGCACATGAAATTTAGAGCCAGGACACACGCGCGGGATGTTAGACAAATATTCGGGTAATCAGAAGAAACAGTTTTAACGATCGTTTGCGAGAGCAGAACTCGAGCGAGCGAGTTGGCGGGACGGGTAAAGTGGGAAAAGCTGTAAGTAAACTCGGGTGATGAGGTTAATATACCTACAAAACGGCGAGACGTGCGACGACGAGGACGAGTCCTCTTTCGTGATCAAGAAACCGTAATGGAAATTTAAATTCACCCACGTGCGGGAACTTGGTGAATCTCGGCGGGTCGCTTAATAAAATCCTTCCCCCGGCCGCCAAGCGCGGAAATTTCGCGTCTCCTCGCGCACGCTCGCATACCGACGCAAAATCCCGCGCCGCGCCGCGCCGTCCGCGCGGCGCGGAATATACGAGTGCGCCGCTATGATTGCCTGTATTAGAAGGGGAGCACACGTTCAACGCAATGGATCGCAAATTCTGTATGCATTCGTGGTTACCGGCGTGCAACGCCGGAACGATCGATCGCGCGCGCGAGATATGCACGCTCGGATGCTGCGCTTTTGCGCGGGTCGCCGTCGATGAACAGACGCGCGAATTCCCCGCTACGCGCACGTATACCGTCGCTACGTGTTGCCCGATAAACGGACTTCACTGTGCGCAGATTTCGGCCCTTAACCCTTTAACGCTACTTGCCTCGCATCGACTAGCCGTCCGTTACGAGCGATTTATATGATTAAGCGGGACAATGCCGGATTCAACGAGCGATTGCTCGTTCAGCCGCTCGCGCTCTCGGCACCTTCGCCAAATACACTTCCGGTTCTTCGCTTCTCGGGAGCAGAACCCCCTTGTTGCATCGCGATTTTTCAATCATCGTTTTTCAATGATGCCGCGCCGCTGATAACAAGCGCAACACACGGCGGTGTGTTGAGCGTTGACCGATTAATAGTCTCAGTCGATTGAGGTAATTGTGAGCAATTTAATCGATCGAGTGTGCGAAATTAATTATTAATCGCCGCACGATCGGTCAAATGGAAGTAATCGATCGAGACGATTATTAATCGCGCGTAATTGCGATTTGCTCGATGCTAATTTTCATTCGGTTTAACGACGATAAGATCGAACAACTCGCTATACGACGCGACGGCGACGGCGACGGCGACGGCGACGTCCGGCAATACGAAAGTAAGATACGAGCTTTAATTAACGCGCGAGTTACCGTCACGTCTAGAACGTCACGAACACATTTATTTAGTCGATCGCGCGCGCGTTTATCTCACATTCTGTATCGCGATTACATCTATAAATTGATGTATCGTGGATAATTGCGATGCTCGCGCGCGCGCGCACACCGTCACACCGGAATAATGTGACGCGTGCTTAACGCGCTTGTATCGTTTTCCTCTCGTGTTTGTGGCACGTAAACAGCCGGGCGTGCGTAGCTAATTATAATCGCTTATATCGATTGCGCGCACGCACGTATTCCTCCGTTTCCGAACGGACTACGAGATGTGTAACATTCGCGCGTCCCGGATGCCACGAGTTTGATCTGCAATCCATCCTCTAAATTGACCGATGCACGCGCGCGCGCGCGCACGCCGAATCTCTCCTCCCCGCGTCCTCCTACGCGTCCTCAGAGTGCGACTTTTCATGCCGTTTTCAGCGTATCAGTCAATTTCGAGAATCACGCCCGTCTCCTTGCCGCTTCGCCCCGTTTCGATCGTTCTCGACACTCTTAAGGCCATCGCACACAAATGAACGTAAGCAGTAAGACGTAAGCAGTAAAGAAACTGACCAATCACAATCAATTATTCTCGTAAGTTTTAAAATGGCGTCTTTAAATTTCGATTGTGATTGGTCGATTTGCTTACTGCTTACGTCTTACTGCTTAAGTTCGTTTGTGTGTGATGGCCTTTACACTCGCTTAATGAGCTAACGTTCCTAATTTCATGCAAATCTCGCGCATCGGCGTCTTTCGCGAGCGATCTCGGCTCGGCAAGATAGAGTCAGTCCATTAGCTCTTTCGCGACGAAGCATCCCTCTGAATTTTCGCTCCTCTCACCGGGAGAGCGAGAGGGACATGTACACGCCCTGCCGCGGGCGTTCGAGTAGAATCAAAGCGCAGTTACGTATTTTCGGGAAATGCCAGTCGGCACAACACGTACGCAATAATCGTATTAGCTCTCACACAGCGACGCGCGCGTATCACTTAACCCGTTACTTCCCGTGCTCCCCTTACGACATTAGCGCGATTCGCTATATCACATTTCGGCACCGCGAATGGAGCCTACAATGCGGGCTTCCCGCGTACACATACACGGATTATCGAGTTCCACACCACACACACACACACACGCGCGCGCGCGCGCGCGCGTGACGTGCGTATCTTCGCATGAGCCCCCCGAATTCATGAGGGACGCAAGTACTTGCTCGTTTCTACAACACGCCGTGCACCGCCACCATCACCACCACCACTAGCGCGACTAAGCAACCGGGGCCCTCCAATCTCGGCGATTTCACTCCCTCACACGTGTCGCACACACTCTTGTGTTCTACACGCGACAATTCACACCGGCCACCACCGTGTGGACCACTCACACCGACGAAAGTCTCGAGTGGGATCGTCTCTAGTACTCCGCGCGTCGCACCGACGCGCGCTTAGTGTGCCTCACGCACCCACAGTGTGTGCGACTGTTGCGTCACGCACAGCGCGGCTGACACACGCGTGTGTGCATTTTACTCGTCGTCGTCGTTGTTGTCGTCCGTCATCCGCCGTGGTCGTCGTGTAGTACATTCGTAGGCCTACCTAAGTTTATTGTTAGAGAGCGTGCGGCGCACGCTGTGGGCCGAGCTTGAGAATTTAGTACGCCTCGTACGCTGCTCCAGTCATCACGTGCGCGTCTCTGTCGCCGCGATTGTTTCTTCAGATGCGAATGAAAGAAATCACAGTGATAGCGCGCTCAGCGCGTCGCGCGTCACGCGTCACCTGGCTGATCCGCGAGGTGTCGATTTTCGGTTAGTGCCGCGTCCGGAAATTTTGACGAGCGAACGAGTGGGAGTGTTGCTTGCAGTCATGTGATCTGTTTGCCGAGAGATGAGCGAGGTGAAGTTTGATGAAACGAAAACTGTTAGTAATACGTGCTACAACACAAGTAGCCGCCGGAAGTTGTCTTTGTTTGCCGCGGAATATCGACGGAGGGCATCTCCCTATATCGATCGGGAATTATAAAAGAGTATATCATGACGACAATGCTACGTTATGTAATTTTTTTATTCTGTATTTTTTATTTAACCCTTAAAGGCTGTCATAGGTGTGGAGTTTCAGTCCATGCGAGTTTTCATCTGGTTAAATGTCAAATTGTCCGCTGCTAACAATAACTTCCCCATTTTCCATCCAATATTCAATACTAATGAAATATTTAACTGCATTTGACTTATTTGATGTTTGAAAATAAGAAATATATCCTGGAGGGAAATTTCACCCCATTTTTCATCTTATTAAATATTAAATTATATCCGCTGCACACAATGACTTCTCTTTTAATATTTATTTTTCATTCCATTTAATAATAATTCAATAATAATGAAATATTTCATTCCATTTGTTTGACTTTTTTAATTTCTAAAATATAAATAAAATAAAATAAAAATATGTACTGGGGTGAAATCTCACGTGATTAATGCATTAACGTGATTTCTTTTGATGATAGCTTTTAAGGGTTAAAAAATGCGAGAAATATCTTGAGAAAGGACTCATACTGCACAAAGTTCCAAAAGATATCTGGATATTTAAAAAAAAGGCTCCTTTTGAAGGTCTTTAAGGCATTTCTTGCTCTTGATCTCTTGCTCGAGCAGCCATAATTATTTGCAAAGGTTTTACGTCCGTTTCCAGCGTTATCGCTGGGATGAAATGTTTCTTGAGTTTATTAAAACGTAGAGGGAATCTGGTCAACTCATCAAACAAATAGGGAGAAACGGTGACAGAGATAAAGAATATTTCTGCGACTATAATTAAATTCAGAATAATGAAATGACAGGCGCTCGCACGCGTGCGCACGCGCGAGCGACCCACTTTGAAATTTTAAATACACAGAAGAAGATCAGAACGTCCGGGCGCGAGGATCAGAATAGAAGCAAATAAAACTTGTCGCCGGTACGCATACCTCCGACTTGTTTACACAGATTCCACAATCTGTCCCCATTTTCCGTACTCCTTCGTCAGCGAAGCTGGAAATCAAGCGAAACGCAATAGCGAGGTTCCGTGGGCATCGCACCAAGCGGAGAGAACCGCTCATTCCATCGGATGGCGCGGGAGTGAGGAGTTAGCGAGTGAAAAACGAGAAATTAGGATTTCGAGGACAGAGCGAAGTGCTTGGAACACGAAAAACCAATTGCATGAGAGGACCTGAGAGGGAGGATAGTCGGGGGATGATAGTCGAGAGCGCGCCGCGACAGTCCGAGGGGCGGGGACGAGAGACACATTGTTTATTCTAGAAATAGCGTTTTTATAAAGGCGCGTTACGCAAATTACTGCCGCACTACGTGGCGCATATCATTGAGCGGAGCGCTTTCGCGACTCTCGATGAATATCCAAACAAGTTCGAGGACAGTTGAGCGGCGAGAGGTGATCTCGATAACTAGATATAAATTAAACGGAGGACGGTTCTTCTGCGAGGCTCTGGGATACCGCGAGTAAAGTGTGATCAACGCTCCAACGTTTCGCCTGAAACGTGTCGTGAATTTGTGGCGCGTTAAACCTCACCCTGTGCATTATTTAATTATTCCACACTCGTGCAGATGTCAGTATAGCTCTTCTCTGTTTCTCCCCTTCTCTCTCTCTCTCTCTCTCTCTCTCTCTCTCTCTCTCTCTCTTTCTCTCTCTCTCTCTCTCTCTCTCTCTCTCTCTCTCTCTCTCTCTCTCTTTCTCTCTCTCCCTCCCTCCCCCCTCCCTCCCTCCCTCCCTCTTTCTCTCTGTTGAAGCGTCAAATTTGCAGAAGGACGTGCCCATAGTCTGTCCGCGCGAGAGCTGAAAGCATCCGTGAAAGGAAGTGTGCAAACACGAAGCCCGATCCTGCGTAAATTTCGACGCTATGAAGCAAAACAGGCAAACCAATAGCGTCGACGACAGCGTCGGTCCTCTAAATCGCAAAGCCGCGCCAATCCCTTTCCCATCGCGAAGGATACGCCGAACACAGGGCGGATGTCGAAAAAGTTTCGTCTCCTCGAGAAAGAGGGAGAACGAGAGAAAGCGGGAAAAAAAGAGCGGGAGAGAGAGAGAGAGAGAGTTGGAAAAAGAGGCAGAGAGAAAGAGTCACCTGAACTGTCGCTGCTAAAATTACTCCACTAGAACCGCCCGCAAATCGCCGTGCCTTTTTTCGCTGGCGCATTCACCACGAACAGGTCGCCCGCGACGTTTTAGCGCCGTTTCGAGCTCCGCGCGCGCGCGCGCTCCTGGAGAACTAATATATCCTTTAAACGCGCCAGGCCGACACGTCCCATCTTCCTCGCCCGCAATTTCAAGTCTCATCGCCGGCGCCTTTCGCTTTCTCTCTTTCATCTGCGAAACCCTAATTAACTTTGGCAATTATGTATGCGGGACGGAGGGGTTTTATACACTCCGTTACGTCGACGACGAGCGAGGTAACACGAGAGAGAGAGAGAGAGAGAGAGAGAGAGAGAGGGAAAGAAAGAAGGAGCGATAGAGAGAGGGATGGGGGAAAAGGGAAGAGGGAAGAGCAGAGGGACTCGCGACGTACGTGCGTACGGTCGGCTGATTAAAGGTTACAATGCTTTTCTTCGACGAGTTTTATCGCCGCGCGCCACGTCCAACGGGGGACAATTTGTTCCTCAGGAATCGTCAGGAGATCCATTTTCCTATTGGACACGGAATGTGTTGGGGAAACTCATCGAAGGAAAGTGCCGCGGGTCTTAATCAGCCGACGTTTGCGAGACACGTCACGGTTTTCCGTTTTTCCGAATCCGCCATTTTCCCGGAGCGTCGAGCGGCGGGAGGGGAGCGTTAGGGGAGCGCGTGTTACGTTTTTTCCGAAATTCCTCCTCGCCCCTACGGCGTGCCGTAGGTTTCTGCGAGAATTACCCCACGCTGTTTTTCCCCTTTTCGTTCGCACGGGCCGTTCCTAGCTCGGCGACGTCATATAAGTGTTTGAATTTTAATTCGTCTCGTCCTGAAAATTTCGTTATTCCCAGCGTGCTCGTACGCTGCATGTCGTACATTCGCGCGGTGCGCTACGTGTGCGCCGGCACATACCACCTACGTGTGTCGCGCTCGCGCGCGCACACAGACAGCGGTTTACGTGTTCTCCTCCTAGTTTTATGCCCGACCCTGTGCACCTGTGCGACATACTCGCTCTCGCTATCTGCCGCCCGCATCTCCCGCTTCTTCCTTCGTTCCCCATCAAGCTCCGTAGCTTAACAAGGGCATTAATTAATAATACCTCCCAGGGATAATTTGCGCCTGCTGTCTTGCATCAGCATTGTCATTGTCCGCGGGGCCGGCGTCTCTACCCTTTGTGTCTGCATCGCGGTGCATCTTAAAATTGACCCGACGATATTCATATACACATGGCGCACAAAACCCGAAGCCGAGTCGAATTTGCGCGCCGGGCGCGCGAGTCTCGGGGTGAATTGGCGGAAAATAACGAAGATGGCGCGAGCGTTAGCGCGCGCGCGCGCGAGGGGGAGGTTAATTTTTCATTTCAATTAGTCGGCCGTATACATAGTGAATGTTCTAATTAGTGACAGTGTCCCACAATTTGTGACAATTGCATACGCGTCCTCGTGAATAAATCAGATATTACGGCGCTCACTCTAAACATGCGTTTTTGCTCTAAATTCTACACATCGTCGGTCATGGCAAGTTCCTAGTGAAATTAAAAACCATAGTAGAGAAATGTTGGAATATTACACGATTACAAGCGTATATATTGCTTAATCGTGACATTTTAAGCAATTGATCGCCCCGACATCTCAGTAGTTGATAATTAATATCAAATATCTGTGTGTGTGTGTCAGATCTGTGTAATTATTTTTTTATTTCTTCAAAACTAGACTGCCAACGGAAAGATAAAATTAAACCATCACGTCACCGAATGGTATCTCGGTCATTTCTGAGAAAAAAGTGTCATAAATATAAATTAAAATCTTTCCATGAATTAGAAAAATGTAACATAACTGAAACCCTGAGCGTTCAAAATTTTCAATAAAATAAATTCTGTGTATTTAGCTCTTATCTTTACCTCGTGTACCTTTATTATATTAATTTATTTTCACGATGAGGTTACTCGGTCACTAATTACACGTCGGCAAATCCCGCCGGAGTCGCCAACGAATTTATTCGCGTCCTTTATTCTTTTGCATCGTTGAAATGTATTTATAATCCCTATTTTATACGTTGATTGACATTATGAACGAAATTAATTTTAACTACGGGGTCGGGAGACAATGATTATTCGCCACCGTCGGTTCCCGCGCGTCCACAATAACGTTACTGCTCTTCCGTGCAAATTTTTCATGCTTTATTGGGCCCATCATTTTATGCGCATTTCATGGTTCGACACGTCCCTTGTAAAATCGTGTCGCAATATTTTTAAACCCGAGTACTTTCTATATGTGCCTCCGTGTTGCCGAGTTTTTCATTAAAACGGTCAAAATTAAATGTTACACTTCGGGTGTTGCGGATCTCACTGTGCAACATAGCCCTCAGCATTTTCATCGCTAACAAATTCGTTCATTCCATCGTGAACCAATATTTAAGCGATTTCTCTGGACCATTGTACCGTTTTTCCGATTAAAGTTGATATTATTTTAACTCCGAATCTCTCTCGCTGTCTCCGTTCGCTCAACGCGTTACTTACGAGTGCGATTGAGAAGACGCGCGGGTAATAATTCGAAAAATAGCTCAGCTGAAAGCTTTTAATCCGCTTTAACGGATTTCTCAGGCCTATCTCGGGATCCCGAAAGGTGCGACGCGACGTAACAACGCGTGAACAACATCAAATAAATCTTCCGCTCGCAAAACTGCACCAATTACTTTTATTAATTTTATACAAATCTCCGCGCGGCTTATTTACACTCGGCGCCGGGCAAACGACGCGTGTAACGTTGCCACGTCGGGGAAAAACTGACCATGCACGAGAACAAATATTGGAACAATACCGCGCGTTAATGCAAATATTTGCGCTTTAATCGGCGACAGTAAACGCGTCGGCCGGTTTGTTTCTTCCGCGGTTGCACTTTTGTATCAGTGTTATTTTTTATCAATTCAGACGTCGCACAAGACTGACCGTGCTTTTCTTTCATGACGATCGCGCGCAAAATGGATTCTACCGTGTCGCGGCGTATGCCTCGACGAGCGCATCCTACACGTTTAATTTAACTTTGTCGATGGAAGAAGCTCTCTCTCTCTCTCTCTCTCTCTCTCTCTCTCTCTCTCTCTCTCTCTCTCTTCCGTATCGCGGCGAATAATAATCCCCTGAATCCTCCGACACGTAGAGACGCCTGGAAGAAGAAGAAGAAGAAGACGACGACGACGACGACGACGACGACGACGACGATGACGACGACGGTGACGTTGACGTACCGATGCAAAGCCCATCGACAAATTAATTAACAGCGGAATATCATTATCCGGCTGCGTGTTTCAATCCGGACGGGATCGATTTTCAGATCATGTCGCGCGACTCTATCATTCTTCGCGCCGGCAGTCAATGTCAATGAGTCTTTAACCCGAAATGCGCTCATTAGCGGAACACAGGATCGAAACCTTTAGATGGAAATTAACGAGGATGTTTTGAAGCATGGTCAGAGGCGAAACGCGCCGCTTTCCCGATCCATCTGCCCCCAATTAACCTACATGCTGAATAAAATTCAGCAACACTGTTACTCACTACAGAAGCGGCTACACGTTTTAATTAAAATCGAACAGAACTTTAATGCTCCCTCTCTCTCTTCCGCTCTCGCTTGCGACAATTTATCACTACGTTAGCATTATCGCGGTTGTGGTTGGCGATTGATCCTGCTGCGCGTTTGATGTCACAGTTACGGAAAAATCACGTGTGTGACGCGCAACGACGAGATCGCTTTGCGAATACCCAAGTAAATATCCAAGTACACATCGCGATATTACGTCGTATGTTTGTCTCTATTATCGACTCTGTCTCTTTCACTTTTTCTCAGTAACTGAGTGAATTGCAATCAAACTACCAATGTATATGTATTAACGTACACATTAACGTGTTTAACTCTAGGGGGTTGATTGACGGAGAAGGGGGCTAAGTACTATTTGTTTTTACCAATCTCAAATCAGAAAAAAATCCCCCTTAGGAGGGGGGTGAACACCCCGTACATGCAGTGTGTCTAGTGACGCGACCAATCGACCAAATTGTAATTTTGTTCAGATAGAAATGCAATTCATTCGTGATAATTAAAACGAGATATAATAAATATCACTCAATTAGAGTACAACACACACAGTCGCGTTACAAAAATATTGTGCGATAAATATTCATTTACAATCGGGAAGAGACGTGCTCGAGAGACAGAGAGAGAGAGAGAGAGAGAGATAGAGAGAAAGACAGAGTTGATTCACCCATTTCATTTAAGTTAAGTTTAATCAATTTCTTTCACAAAGTGAAATGTCGTACGTCCGTCGACTCCTTATCATGAAGAATTTAAACCACATAGAGACACATCCAACGAGATAGTGCGCGCCGGAATCTCTCTCTCTCTCTCTCTCTCTCTCTCTCTCTCTCTCTCTCTGTCTCTTTCTCTCTCTCTCCTCTTTTCCTCCTTAATCTTCAACCATCATAAATTAATTTAGCCGTTTGAAATAATTGGTTTCATCGTGGCCTGGAAGGCGGATGGAAACTTACGGTAGTTCTTGGGAGCATTTCTGATTCCATCTGTGTGCGCGCGTCTTCCTCGAAAACGAAAACGAAAGAGGAAAAGTAAAGTTCAGAATTCTTCTATGAATTGCAAATTCGTCCGGCATTTCCGCGTTGACTACGTTATCATGAGCGCGAACAAAACGATATAAGCGTCAGAGAGAAGCGGAATAATTGCAAAATTATTGCGACCCTCCTGTCGCTATATAAATTACTCTCTGTTATCTATTCATAATGATGGCGTGGCGCAGAAATTAAGACGACCGTTTCACCGCCATTTAACGTCGCGCTGATCCATTTTATTGCGCGGAACGCGAATAATCGCGAGAATTAACTGTCAAAATTTATGACAAACGTAATGTACATTCGCGCGGGCGCATAATGCATCGCGGCTGAATCTTAGCGTCAAATGCTGCGGGGACATGCTGAAATCGCATAAACGGATGCCGCCATTTATCATGCCGCCGGGTCTTACTTCTCTGGCTGAGTGACAGCGCGTTAAATTTAGCATTAATGATGCGGTTCGAGGCGCTATAGCGAAAGACGGAAGCTCGTTAATTAGTTATCGCGGCGAAAAGTGCACGGCAACTTGCGCCATGTACATTTACGCATCTTTGTCACTTTCTCTCCCTTCCTCCTCTCCTCTCTTTCTCTCGCTTTTCTCGTCGTAGTCTCGTCGTAGCGTTCACATTGTCAGATTTAAGTCCTCCGTTGCGATAAGGCACGCGTTTAGCATTCCGCTCTTCGACCCACATTTTGTTGATGTTGAACACGCCGTGGCGGAGTGTCTCTCGACCACATTCAACGACTTTCGCGGTGAAAGCGATGCTCGCGGAAACTCAATTTTCACGTCATTAACAGAAAGCAGAGAACTTGAGGTGAAAGATCGTGATGTCCTTTGATGAAGATCAACGAAACAAAGGACGAGAAATACGTGAATACGAGTTGGAAGGAGAACACATTGGAATCGATCGCTGGAATCGCCAAAGCTCGAACGTGAAGTTTACGGGCGAGAGGTTTCTCGAAGAAATTTGAAAATACGGCTGCGTTGAACTGTAATTTCCGGCAAGGAGAAATTGCTGGTGTAATCGCCGCCGCGTACTCCGATGCCGAGGCGCGGGACATTACCGTAGGAGTGCGGCGGCGAGGAAGAAGAAGCTGAAACTACTTTCGCGTGTTAAGTGAAACTACGTAATACGCGCGCGAAGACACGTAATGCAACTTCGATGATCGAGCTTTCAGTGAATCCATTTGCAAACGTAATTCCTACGTGCCGTGGGGAGGGAACGAGAGTGCCGTGATAACGAAGCGAGTCGTTAAAAAACAAAAGTCATTTCGTGCGCGTCGTTTGGTAAACCGAGCGCGTGGCGCAATGCAGGCCGTCGCGTCTCTGATACAATCGCCGGCTATTAATGAATGCAGTTCGCATCCGCGGCACGCGCGTTAAGATCGTTACGAAATCTCGCGTCACGTGTGCGAGAGCCCAAAGCTACGAAGGAAGAAAGGAAGGGAGCAAGGTAGGAAGGAAGGAAGGAAGGAAGGAAGGAAGGAAGGAAGGAAGGAAGCACGTGAGGCATTATTAAACTTCTCGCGCTTTAATCCGGATGTAACGCGCACGTTTACGTGGTTGGAACGAAAACTATGCGGCACGATGAAGGGGCCAAGAATCGGTGGTGGCCTACCGAGCGAGAAAAGGCTGGACTACTGCCAGAAGACGCGTCAAGCTCGAGGAGCGTTGCTGCTGTACTTGAGTATCTACACGTTGCTGCCGGCCGCTATTTTCACTGGTTGGTATCGACGAGATTTCGTCTCGTTTTGCGAGAAACTAGAACTTTAAGCGCATACACGAACTTGCGCTCGATTAGGAGTCGAGGCCGATTTGACGCTACTAGAACGGTGAAAAGTGACCGGTTTTAATTTTGACGTTGTTGAACGAAAGACAGACAAATAAGTGATCACATTTTTTCACCCGCATTCTATTCGTTTCTATTTTTCGAATAACGGTCGTTTCGACCACTCTGAAGAGAAATAAGTTGTCAATCGGTCTCGGCAGTTCTAGTTTGAATTTTATGTATTACGCTGGCGCGAAAGGTTCGTTGCGTTGGTCGAATAAAATCGACGATGAAAAATTATCCAGTCTCTAAGGATTTACGACAAAGACTTGACGATTAATAATTAGTATGTAATTTCAATAATGTTAGTTTACATTATATATTTTAAATAATATCAATTAATATTATATAAAATTCAATTAAAATGATGTAATATTCGCGAGAGAATTGAATTGAAATTGGAGAGATGACAAATCTTTGGCACCAGCCTTAATATACTTCAGACTAATACGGTTTAACGTTAACGTTAAGAATAAAAATAGCGTTTGTTCGCTTCGAGATATCATACGGTGTAATCTCTAAGCTGTGTTTCTTTTCTCTATACACATGCACGTTGCGAAGACTCTCCTCTCTCGCGGTCGATCGCGACGAAAGAACGAGACAGCCCGATCTTTCGTTGTTCGTTAAAAGAGTTAAAAGAGAACTCACAAATCGCGTCATCACGTACCGTCGTCAACAATGCCAGGTGTAACGACGATATGATTTCTATGCGCGCGCGCGCGCGCTCATGGATGCAGGACGCGAGAGGGAAACTTTTCTGCAGTCGTTCCTTTAATATAACGTCTCGCGGTCTCACCTGAGAAATGAAGGACATAAATCACGGCGCTCATCAAGCCTCGCGTGGTCTCAATTTTGCAAAACTTTTCCCACAAATCTTTGCCGCCCGCCTAGGCAGCCGCCGTCGTCTCCATCTTTTAAAGATTAGTTTAATGTCGTTCGCGTGACGTCCGCCCCGTGGCCTCAACTTTATAATGAGAAAGTCACCGGGCGACGGGGAACGTAATAAGCAATAACACTTCGTACCGCATAAACAATCCGGCGCGCCGCGCCGTCGAATGCGCGCGGCGGAGTGTTCGGTTGCATTTTCTCCGTCTTCGAACTGGGTCATTTGATTTACACGCAAAATTCGGCCGCGCGCGATAAAATCCGGCGCGGCGACAAAATCCGCGACATGATGCGTGTAATACACACGTGCCGGAGGGGTTAACTACCGCGAAGATACATTTAGAGCCTCGAGGACAATTTGAGCGTTGCTTCCATCAAAAATAGACGCCGCAGAGCCGAGCGAGCTGCACCGTGCACCGGTAAACGCGTCTCTAATTCGGCCATTTGGTACGCCGCTGCTGCACAATTCGGTATTAACGCCGCGACGCGATTTCGAAACTTTCGATCCGAACTTCGCGCTCCAAGGCGACAGACTCTTTTTCTTCCGGCTCCACGGCTCCCGGGGGGACCTGGACGTTCCGCGACCAGAAATATAAATCGCGAGAAATGACCCTTGCGACGAAACGCGACAGTATTATTAAAGGACGTCCTCAGACGCACTCGACGCGAGCGAGCGCGCTCGCTCGCGTCGAGATGTGCGCATCTCGTAACGCTTCGCAGGCAAAATAGGAACTAATTAAGCACACGAGAGTTTAAACGAGCCGCTGCGCCGGCCCTAGTGCAAATTGCAAGTCGTATTAACAGTTATCTCGTAATTGTCTACAGCATGCTCGGGATTTGTAAAGCTAGAATTAAATTCGCAAGTAACGCTCGCGCGCCGTGAGCGTGGCACTTCGTGTCGGTGTTCTCCTCTCTCTTTCTCTCTCTCTCTCTCTCTCTCTCTCTCTCTCTCTCTCTCTCTCTCTCTCTCTCTCTCTCTCTCTTCTATACACACATACATCTCCCGTTCTATTTTCCCTCAAATCCTCACCCATTGTGCCCCACTTGGCTTTGTCGCGAATTTGACAGTTTGCTGCTCGAGCTGTGGGAGCTATGGAGGAGGAGAGAGCGAACGCTCTCTTGACGGTGTCTTTTAAAAATAAACACACACATGCGCGAGCGAGCGTGCGCCGTGAGCGTGCGAGTTGTGCGGCTCGTCGCAATCTCGGAAGAATGTTAAATACTGACATATTATATCCCGGCTAATTTCGGGGAATCACGTTTCCCTCTCTTTCTCTCTTTTGAATTCGCCAATGGGGAAGGCAACAGTTACGTTTCCTGCTGTTGCCGTTTGATAAATTATTAACATGGCAATATATGTGTTACATGCACCTTATTGTGTATTTTACCTCAAATACGTGAGAGAAAGTTTTTTAGATCGCGAGTTATCGAGACGTACAAATTTGTGAAATGTACGTGCGAGAAATTTCGCTGAAACCCGTGCGCGCGTACGAGAGAGAGAGAGAGAGAGTGAGAGAGAGAGAGAGAGCGATAGTCCGGTCAAGTACTTTCGAGCGAAGTTCACTTACCCTCAGGGGAACACGGGCGACGCATTAATTGGTTTCTTGAACCGAGTAGCACATTTGAAGTTCCCTGCAAACTAAACATCTGGTTTAGCGGTCTAAACATTCGAGCCCCGTGTTGGTTTCCACGTGGCGACGGGAACACCGAACCCAGATAATGTTTAACTGACATTCGCGCCAGCTCAACGTCTACAATTGATGCTCTAAACTCGGTACTTGGCACGAAAATAAACTGCAAATTATATTCGCCTCATGCGACCAATTTGTTCGGTCTCTTCGATCGAACGTATTTACTTTCGACGCGTCAAAATCGTCGTTCGCTCTGAAAAGTGCGCGCGACTCACGAATGAGTGAATATAATGACAAAATTCGTCAAATAATCATGCGGATGTAAAAATGTCAAAGGCGCAGGGGAAGCGCCTAGGGGAAGAGGTTGTTTGACGCATTTATCGTAACGCGCGGCGGAAAATTCGATTCGCCATTGCTCGATTTTCCCAGAGACAATGCCACCAGCTACGTATCGCCGAAAGGGAGAACCGAAAACAAACAGCGCTCCGTAACCCGTCTAGTGGAAACGAACCACGTGTCTATCAATAGAGGCGCGAGCTGTGTAACTCTATTTATCCTCGTGTTAGCGCGGAAGGAAAATGCAAAGACAACTGAATAATACATTAATTCGCGCAAGATCGTTGTCTTTTCCCCTATTTCTAAAGTCATCTCTGTTACCCGACACGGTGCCATTGTCTATGTTATTCCAGACGGAAATCTAATAATTTCGGAGCTTCTACATATTCTCCACTCCTTTCTTTCTCTGTCTCTCTCCCACCTCTCTCTCTCTCTCTCTCTCTCTCTCTCTCTCTCTCTCTCTCTCTCTCTCTCTTTCTCTCTGCTTTCGTTTAATTTATGTGGCGCGTCTGACGTAATTCCTATTTCTATTCGCAAATAAGTAAAGCTCATCAAACTGAGCGAAGAGTCTACCCTTTTGCAGAACAACCACGATCACTTTCGGGAGGTGTAATAATTGTCTGTAAATAATAATTTATAAATAACAGTTGTTTATAACTTTAATATTTAAATTAATTGTTTATAATTATTTATAAAATTCGAGGTAATAATTATTTATGAATTGGCATGATGCGATATGGGACGATTTTTCTTGGCGAGGTCTCCTCTGAGATGTTGATAATCCCTCGGCTCGTAACGCAAAAATTGCGTCAATTTGGCTGATGCGATGGAATTTACGCGCGTATAAGCGGAGGGCTACCGCGGCCATGACACCTCGAGAAGAGCGCAACTCGCCGCTTAAAAGCGTGGACCTGGCGCGCGAGGCACAGGCGTGATCCCGAAAAGGGACGAGCGGCCGGCAAAAGTTTGCTAACCGCTGCGGCGTTCCCGGCGACGGGCTATCGAGCGGTCGGGTTGCCAGGCGTAGTGAAACGCGGTCGTCGCAACGTCCAGACAACCGAAAACAAAACTCCCTTGCGCTCTCGGCCCGGCGGAAACGCATCGCGCGGTTACCCATAAAGAGGATCGCGGTGAAGCCGGCGCACGAGGGACGGCTGAGGAGTGGCCTAGGCGCCGGCAGTTACTTACGCTTAGGACAATTTACCTTAATTAATTAACCGGCGTTGTGACGGGGCGCTAATTTATGCTCATAGAATGATTCACCGCCGCGCTGCCGGGCGGATTGCGGTTTAACCTCCTTCTTCCTCCGCGCCGACTGGCCGGCCTCGCCGACTGTTAGCCCGGCAAAATTCGGCTGCCTGCAGCCAGACGCGCGGATGAGCCGCTCTAATTAGAAACGTCTCGGAGTGTATTCGAAAATTCGCGTCATCTTCGCCGAGGATCGCGACCGTTCTGCGTCTTTTAACTTTCGTCTCGGCGAGAGACCGATGTCGCTACGGCTGTCTCGCGAAAGTCGGTCACGTGGACAATTTTTTGGGATCTGATTAGGATGTGTGTGTGTGTGTGTATGTGTGTGTGTGTTTCGGTTCCCCCCCCCCCCAAAAAAAGAGGTTCTAATTGAGAAATCTTTCTCGTATTTGTCCCGATTTTTGTAATATTGTTATAATTTGTAGATTTGCTGCGAAAGGGGATGCCCGATTGATATCGTAATACGATGCAGGTGTCTGGAACAAGTTTGGGTAATCTGATCGGAAGCTATGTAATACTTGGGAATGTTTGGGGAATTTCCGTGGCGCTGATGCCGGAAAGTTTATCACCCGAGAGTCATCGTGGCGTTTCAGCTTTCCGCGATATAATTGGCATAGTCCGCTAATCCGGCACAGTCCCGTGACAATGCGCGCCGGATAATGCGATGTTTGAGCTAATCGCGAGATCAGAATTGGCGAAAGCAGAATGGTACACTTCTGGGAGGAGGGGAGAGGAGGGGAAGATTGATCGTTTAAAATTTCCTCGGCGGGAGGGGTCACTTCCGTTCATATCGTC